ACTGCTAGTGCGGCTGATGTTTGAAATCTGCCATACGATCATATTTGAGTCTACGCTTCCAATGTACGCCATTAATTACTACACTTAAGCTGAGGACTATTGACCAAGAAAGGACCCTTTTTAAAGTGGTCTTCAAGAACTAATGCTAAGTTCTTTAAGTAAGCAGCACATGCAAAATTAAGCAGGCTTTCTGTGAAAATAGCGCTTACTGTAAGGAAATATGAACAGTTTCACACCGTTCTCACACAGGTAACACGCCACTGTGGCGCCTCTGGATTGTTCACACACACTACACACACACACACACACACACACACACACACACCCACACACAAACACAACACACACACACACACACAACACAACACACACACACACAAAACACACACACACACACACACACACACACACACACACACACACACACACACACACACACACACACACACACACACACACCTCAATGACTAACATTGTTACAGAAAGGGTTAGACATTACACTCTTTCAATGGTGTTGCCAATTGATACCACTCTTGTGGCCAATATGAAACTTGAGCCAGGATCAGAAGATAAGCTCACAACTAAAGGTGTGGTGGGGGGGGGTAGCCGGTCTAAAATGAACCTTTTATCTGCATAAAATCTGCGGCCAGGCTCACTAATTAAATTAAATTTGTTCAAGCCAGACAGAAACAAAAAAACAAAAACCCAGAATTACGTGTTATGGGCGGTTAGGTGCATGACTAATTTGTGGCCTTTTCTCCTTGACACAGACAGAGCTAGTCTAGCTGTTCCAGTCTAGAATGCTAAGATTTTCCTGGCTGTGCCTTTTTGTCAACCATTCAGTGGTATCCATTTTATTATTTAGCTCACATGATATGGTTAGAGCAGGGGTGTCAAACTCAATTTCATCGCGGGCCACATTCGCATTATGGTTGCACTCAAAGAGCCGGTTGTAACTTCAAGACTATATAAAAATACATATATAAATGTTTAATATATAAAATAATGTGTTATATAAATTCCGTTATTGCCTCTGCATTGGATTATTATCAGATAGGGTATAACTTAATAATTAACTACGCCTGAAAGAAGAAGGCTTCTTTAAATCGGCCTGTAACCGTATAGTAAATGTATTATATTTTTTGCAAGCTCTTGTGGGGCCGCAAGAAGTGAAGTCACTGGCCGGATTTGGCCCCCGGGCCTTGAGTTTGACACCCCTGGGTTAGAGGGTCTATATTTACCGGTTCTTGGAAACAGAAAAAAAAAATGAATGCCTGATTTCTCCTGACCAGGTCCAAGCTCTTTTCCACCTGAGCTGGTAATAGCGCCCATGTGTGAGCGGTGGAGATAGCCCATCCATCACAGTCTGACCACAGTAAATCTCCGGAGATATTATGGGTCGCGGCGAAATCGAAAATACCAAGGATGTAAACATACCCCCAGCCGGTCTCTAAATGTTCCCAGGTCAGTGTGTCTAATCTGGGACCCTGACTATGGAAACTCACACGGGACGGAGAGCGTGCACCTCAATATCACTTTACATGTAAACACAGTTGCTCTGCCAACAGGAGAGTATGATCCGGTTCATATGAACTGCAAACCTCATTCAAGCATGAAAATGGGGATTTGGCTGTGGTTTAAAATACTGGAGATTCTTCAAACATTACAAACTAAATCACTCATATTCCTTAAAAACGTATAATCTGCAGTATACACGGACATACTTTCATTGATATGTTCTGAGGATTGATAAGGAGGAACATCTCTTTAAAGCAACCTACTTCCATATTAATGTTTGTGTCACTGCTCAGCTTCGAAACTTTGTTGAATTATCTGTGTTTTATCTTTTTATATATATATACATGTATTTTCAAGTATGACTAAGGAAAGCTAATAGGGGATATCTATAGTCACATGTCATGTTTTCCCCCTAAAAATCATACCGCCTTTTTATACACCTATATGTGTGTAAATAAATAAAAATAAGCCAAAATGTCTGATTCTTTAGCTTGAGGCTCAGTGCTTCAAAAGCACACAGCCCTGGGGTTGTTTTTGCAGATGGTTTTAGAGAGAGAAGATAACCTCACATATAGCAGAAATCCATATCTTAGATTGGTATTGGTCACATGTTGAAGTTTACTCGTGGCCCTGGGCGGAAGTGATGGTCCAAAGCTACCTGGGATGGAGGGATGTGCAGGTGTGTGTAAGTCACCTTTCTCTAGTGACACGTTGCACCACTTTAATGCCTCTCAGCACGCAGCTCCTCCCCTGCCACATGAGGCAGTATCGGCGGAGGTCATTCTCACAGGACAGGAGGTGGAGCTGGACCACGCTGAACATCCCATGGCCATCCTGGACAAGCACACAGAGCCTGGGAAACAAACAAAAACACACAATCAGACTGATTTGATGCAATCATGTTTATATTAGTAGTTCTTAATCATGTTAGAAATGTTGTGTGGTGTAAACAAATCACAAGTGCAGTGTCTTTCACCAATTGTGTGCATGGTTACTTGATAGCGGGCTTATTCTTTGCTACTTTTCGATGCATGTTACCACAACCACAAGCTAAATTGCAGCAGAATTGAATACAAACAAGACTGGAACCGACTTTTAAAGACATTACTCAACTGGTGGTCCGAAATGTTTATTGCTGAGGATTGTTATTTTATTGAGAAATTCTTGATTTTCCAAAAAGAGCAGTGAGGATTAAAATGATTTTCATGAGTCTTATGTTGTCAAAATTCCAAACGGCTGTGATTATTTAAATTATAAAAAGAGGAAACAGGTGCAAAATTTGTTGGAATTCACAAATAATTGATTTCATCGCAATCTGCCCAGTGTCAAGGTCAGATTGGTAGGATAGGAGAAGATATTTAGTCGATCTTATATTATACATCCATAAAGTTTAACAGGTAAGCGCAATCTGCCCTTTTTAGTGTTTAATTGCATTTCTCCGAGTGGTAAAGTATGAATGTTGACTATGCGCCAAACACAAAGTGGGCAGAACAAAAGCAGAGAAAAAGAAAAGATAACATTTGAGACAGACAGCAGAGGCATTCCTCAAAACCTCAGGCAAGCCATTGAAATGCCTGTCAGTATGAAAGGCACTTCAGTTACCACAAACTCTCTGAAGAGGCTAATAGTTTCAGTGTAACTGCAAGCAGCTATAAGTAGTGATCTTTGAGAATTGGACTGTTCATTTGCATAGGAAATGCATGGGAATGGGCCAACTCTGCAAGTAGCTCAGGAATACAAGACTCTTTGCAGGTTCCTCGTCTTATTTGTTTAGGTTGAAGGGCCCCAAAAGTCACATAATCCTTTCGAGGCTTGGCCCCTTAAACTTGAATGATAATGACCTTCAAGTTCTTTGTCAGTCCTTGAAGTGCCTTTAAACTTTTAAGCCAACATGAACAGGAAGTCCTCATGGCTCTGGGATAATTGAAAGTTTAAACATCCAACATATGGTAGCAAGTGAGCAAACTCAGCTGGAAGCAACTAGTTAGTGCACCGTAAGTTGAGAATTTCAGTCATTTCCGTTTGCTTGGTGCGCTGCTTTGTTTCGTGCTGCACCGCGGATTGGATGAGAATGAATCAGTCACAATATCCAATTTTTGAATCAGATCCTTTTTTAAACAAAATAAATGAGCCAATTATATGACTACTGCTCCCAGTGACACACCAACGTTACACAGTTAATGCTCAGCCCTGTCACTGTGACAAGTGTTAATGCTGGAGGCCGGTTTGACAGGCTGCTGCTGACAGAAAAGACCTTTGGCCCACAAAGTAGAGAGGAAGAGTCCTACAGTGTTCTCCTGCACTTTGCTGCTCCCACTGAGAGAGGAACTGCTAAAGGCTCCAGTATCTCAGCCAGTCAAGCCCAGACAAAGCCCTGTACCAACTCTGAGAGTAAACAGAGAGTTCAAATCCCCTGGTTAGACAAGGAAGGGCCAGCGGAGAAGTGGAGAAGGGGGAAAAAGAAAAATTGGAGGACTGTCAGCGTGCTCATCATACATGTGCATTAGGGTGGTCCTTAGTACATTTTCAAATTCATTTATTTTAAACTTGTTATGATAGTCAAGAAAACTCTCCTGGTGTATTTTAATCAAATTCCAACAACATTTACCCCTCCCTCATCAACCTTGAAGTTTAGTCTCACGTAGGTGGTCCTTAAAATTGAAAGTCGGAAAGTTTAAGTTCCAACCCCCAGAATTCATTCTCTGATACCTCATTCACACCAACGCAACTCCAGTTCAAGCTCCGTGCTAGAGCTTTTAAGGTTCAGAACCGGTTCTTCGGTTTAGCTCCGGATCTTTTCACACCGCCCAGAGTCCGACTGGTGCTGCGTCATTGCGTCATCATTTGCGTCATGACGTAACCGTTTGCGTGCCTGCTTCACAAAGCCAAACCGCGCGGAAACTCCTCAAATCATGTCGATGATTTGAGGAGTTTCCGCGCGGTTTGGCTTTGTGAAGCAGGCACGCAAACGGTTACGTCATGACGCAAATGATGACGCAATGACGCAGCACCAGTCGGNCCACGATAACGTCCAACCTTTTCCATAATTTATTTTGGTTTGGTTTTGGAACCACCAACGCAATCGACATGCTGAGGGAAGGGAGGCTGGACCGCTTTTCGGGGTGACAGTGTTTGCCTGGCCAAGGGGAAAAAACCTCTCACTTCGGGGTGCTTGTGGCCTTTGGAATTAGCCAGGTTAGGCTTCCTCGAAAAGCGGGGGGAAGCGGGTGCACGTTTTCTGGCCCCACCACTCCTTGATTATCCCATTGTTGGGATTAATGCGGGCTGTCGTGGCAGTAATCCCTAGCTCATCGATACCGGGCATCCCACGTTGGGGACCCCCTTGTTTTTTCTTTTTTTGCTGGTTCTTTGCCTCTGGGTTCAGTTGCTGGCAACGCCGGGTTCCGATTGCGTTCACTGGTGCTAGGGCATTACTGCTAGTTTTTTTCTGCTAGGCTTGTTTCGGCAGCGGGGGGTGGTCCTTTCATCTTTCAGATGGTTTGCGCATTAGGCAGATGCATTTGTATTTGTTACTTTCAGTACAGCTGTACACAACTGACACTTCACTTTGTGAGTTGGGTTACATTCTTCGTCTTGAAGTACTGCGCGATACATAAGAATGATCGGGCACGGTGTTTGACATTTTGCGAGCCCACCTCGTTAACCTACCATTTTTTTTTCACAGCTAGTGACTAGTGGCCTACAGCGCCGGACTAGTTGGGTTAATGGGGTTAGGTCGACTAGTCGGACTAGTTCGATTAGTTGGTGGGAAACCCCTAGCTTGGTACATGATTAGTGGCTCGAGGTTCATATGGCTAAGAGCTTGTATGTGGGGTTAATGGGAATTTATATGTTGTCTGTTGGTAATGTGCATTTATGCCGCCAGGCCAGAGGGAAGCTTGCAGTGACTAACACTTCAACGTTTTCATTGCCAGCAGTTGTGTGTGTGTGTTGTGGTGTTGGTGTGTGAGTATGGTGTTGGAGGGAGAGCGAGAGGAATGAGGAGGGAGGAGGAGGAGAGAGGAGAGGGAGACGAGGGGGAGTATTAGAGAGATGGAGGATGATGTTTTTTTTTTTTTTTTTTTTTTTTTTTTTTGTTTTTTTTTTTGAGAGAGAGAGAGATGGAGAGAGAGGAGAGAGACAGAGTGAGAGAGAAGTGAGGAGGAGGAGGAGTGAGGTGAGGTGACGGTGACGTGAAGTGAGTTGGTGAGTGATGTGAGTGAGTGAGTGAGTGAGTGAGTGAGTGTGTGACAGGGTTTCCGCTAGGATTTCTTCTCGCCCGTCAATTGTCCGGACAGAATTTATTTTACCGGACAAATTTGAAAGTTACCGGTCATGTTTCAATAATAATAATAATAATTCTGGAGCAGAGTTTCCGTTAGCAGGTAATTACTGGACTATGACCGGATATGCTGATGTTTAAAAATCAGTTAAAGGTGGGGTAGGTAAGTTTGAGAAACCGGCTCGAGATACACTTGTTGTTATATTCCATGGAATACTCTTAACATCCCGATAGCAATGAATATCTTAAGTGCTTTGACAACAAATCCATAAAAAAATGTCATCTGTAGAAGCCGTAGTACTGTAAAAAGCACAACCAATCATTTTAGCCGGCTCGGCTAAAATAACTGGATGGCCTACCTGCCTGTCAGCCTTCCATCTGAGCACAAACTTCTCTCGTGCCCTCATTGGTCATGTGCGCGTTCGTGTGTGTTGGAGGAGGAGCTCTGTAAGGAAGTGGAAGATTTTTTCCGGCTGTGTATTTTCAAATTCTAGCGCACTCGAGCTGGTTTCTCCAAAATTACCTACCCCACCTTTAATGGGAGTAATTTTTATATTGCTTCAGTTTATAATCGTAACAGATCGAAAAATTCTGATTCATTTTTCAATAAATGATTCCACAAACAACAAACAACATAAATATTAACATTCAAACAAAACTACTTGGTTGTAGATGAGACCATACATTATTTCAAAAGTTTACATCAAATTTGAATAATAACACGGGAGAAAACGGATCCTCTCTTTTTCCCTCTGCCCTCCCTCTCTCTTCCTGATAGGCCGTCAGTTTTCTCATGCAGCTCGATAAAAACAGTGGGCGGGGCTTTCAGGGTGATTATGCTGAGCTCCGTGGCTTGCGTCTCGAAGGTCAACTATTATTCATTTCCTTGGTCCCTCGTCCCGGTATCACGGAAGTTGATTTGTCTGCAATCAATCTTGAGTAGGGTGTTCCCATGGCTCTTATTTCTGCCGGAGGAACCGAGGATCGAGGAGCGGAGGAGGATCAATGGAGGAGCGATAACCGAGAAACCACCAGACCTCCTCCGATGAAAATCCTCAGATATCTCTTGCCCCGGGGCCCCCTTACTGGTGTTAAATCGGCTCAACTGATTGGACGATGCAGTGCATGCACTGATCTCATGCTTCTCGACATGAGTGAGAACAGTTTCGTCCAGCGGAGTGAAGAAAATACATGAAACCTCACGGGACTCACTCCTCAGGTTCATTACTGTGTTTTGGTTTCAATTAATGTATCATTTAGTTACAAATATGGTTGACTATATCTGAAACAACAAAGTCGGTCAGAAATGCATTTAATTCATTATTGGAAACATTTTCATTTATCGGCTTTTTCGTTTTATACATTTTAAGAATTGGCGTTTATCTTTTTTGAGGATGAGTTGCTTATTTTATTTATATTGTATTTATTTGGGTCTACAACAGATGGAACAATGTATATGTCAGGTTAAATGGTGTACTAACAGAAGGCGGGGGTGTGGGTGTGAAAACAAACGGGGACAAGCTGCTGTCCAGGACATCAGCTGTGCGGGTTACTCACGAAAGTACGGACGT